TGGCTTTTCTGGGATTGAGTCGGTCAAGTGCCTTTTCTACGCCCCTAACACTGATGATGATGATTTCCATTGGTGTGAATTTGCTGTCTCCCTTGTGCGGTATAGATGTGGTGTCCTCTGTGGTGAATACTGATGTAAATTGTTTGTTGAGTAAATCTGCCTTTTTCTGTGCTGTGTCTGCTATGGTGCCGTCTGCTTTCAGTGTGCTGATTCCTGTCGTGTCCTGTTTCCTAGCTTTAATAAATTTCCAAAAAGATTTTGATGTGCTGTATTTCTCCGGGTCTAACATGTTGTTGAGGTAGTTCCAATATGCACTGTGTAGTTTGTTCCTGATTACTCTCTGAATTTCCCTAAATTTCTTTCTGTCCTGATCGTCTCCGTTCTTCTTGCTCTTGTTATAAAGTCTCTGTTTCTTATTTATCAGTCTTTTTATCTCCCTAGTCATCCACAGTACCTCTGTTCTTCGTCCTAATTTCTTCCTTGGGATATGTTCCTTAATGCATCTTTCTATAGTTCCTTTTAACTGCTGCCATATTTCTTCTACTGTCTGGTCTGGTGTGTTGTCCTGTTGTATCCTAAGTGTATGCATTTCTTCTCTGATCTGGTCCCAGTTGGCTTTGTTGTATACGGGTATATATCTATCATCCTGTTTTGCTGTATATGGTCTTACGGTAAATGTTGTTGATAATATATCGTGGTCTGCTTTTCCAATGGGTGGTAGTGTTGTCTGTTTCATGACGAGGTTTGGGTGTGATGTTATCAGGAGGTCTAGAATTCTGTCGTTCCTTGTTGGTAGTCTGTTTGTCTGTTCCAGGTGGTGGTTGTTAAGTAGTGTGGTGAGTTTGTCGCAGTCCAATTTGTCCCTGGATCCAGGTGGGGCTGATCCATTTTCCCAGTTTATGTCCCCGAGATTAAAGTCGCCGCCGAGCACAATTTTATGGTTCTTTAGAGGGGAGTTGTTGATTTTCCCAAGGGATTTCCCAAGTTCATCCAATGAATCTATAGTGGATGTGGGTGGTCGGTAGAAAGAACCAATCAACATCTTATCGTGTCGGTTTGGTTTTATTTCCAGCCATTTAATTTCACAGGTGGTATCTAAATCTGGACACTCGTCTGCCTCAATGTCAGGTCTTACCATTATTACCACTCCTCCTCCACTTTTATTGATGATTTCTCCTCTGTCTTTCCGATATACCTTGTACTGGTGGTGATCAGGTATGTCATGGGGGAGTAGTTCTGCATTACCGTGGTGTTTCGTCAGGTGGGTCTCTGTGCCAATTATCACTGCTGGTAGGGAACTTGATATGATGTTGTGGAGCTCTAGTGATTTATTGGTCATGCTCTGAAAGTTGATAACCATGATGTTTAGGGTGTTATCCTGTTCTCGTACTAAGGCGCTCGTGATTTCTGAGTCGGTTGTTGTCGTCAGTTCGCTGGTGGATTGGTGTGCCTTGGGGGATGATGTCGCCAGGGGAATAATGTTTCCGGTTATGTCATCTTCCTGCCATGATATATGGCTATGCTGTGAGGTTCTACCTCCATCTGCATCACTATAGCTGTGGTGTAGATTAAGGGAGTGTCGCTCATCTAGCGAAGTATGTCGCGGAGTGGATGTTCCCGAGTGGTCACTATGGGCATTATCAAGTGAGGCAAATCGGTTGCACGTTTCAATTATGTGAGAGTCAAGTAGGGATGTGGATAAATTGGGTATGCCACAAACCAAACATATCCAGGTGATACTGTTACCTTGTAGTGCTTTGTAAGAGTTTGGTGAGATGCTTGCACATTTTATATGGTACCAAATGTCACATCCATCACATTGGAGTGCTCTTGCGTTCCAGGTCACTCGTTTACCGCATATTCCACAAGGGTATTTGGGAGGGGGGGTGGGGTAGGGCCGGGGCCAGGATGTGACTCGATGTCACCGGCCTGTAGGATGAGAAGGTACAACAAAAACATGGATTTGTAAGACCGACAGTTCCTTAACCTTATGCCCGAATGTCTTACCGATACCATTAATTGGTTAACACATGATGTGGAATCCTCTGTGGACGATTGGGGTGTGGTCAGTTGGTATATCTCCCTGCCTGTTGGTGGTTTGGGGGTACGATGTAATCGTAACTATGGTGAAAAGAATTTGTCTCGTCAAAATTGAAATAAGTTTAGACATACAATATATGTCACACAATATAGATATATCATCCTATGTCTAGGGAATAGTTCACTTTTCCAAATGATTGTTTTAGAAAATTTAATCAATAACTAGTGTTTTAAGATTTAAGATAAAAACTGTTCAGAAATTTAGTAATCAAACAATAAAAGTAAAGTGATGACAGCAGGGTTAGACACTAACTTGTTTTGCTTGGTAGTCCACATGACTAGTTTAATAGATTATTTACTGGTCCTTTGTCAGTGTAACTAGTCCAAGATTCCCTGATAAGGAAACATCACAATCTACAGCACTAAACATCAAAAGTAATCGACTGTAATACTGCCATAAAAATATGGTGAAGTTTTAGGAAAATTTTGACAATTACCATGCAATATACCTTATTATGAGCAGTTTTCTAAACTTTAAACAGGAATATTCTTATTTGAAAGGCCTTGCTGAAATCTACTAGTCCAGGACGAGTGTTAGTGTCGACCCCTGCGAGATAAATTACATGATAATGATGAGATCAAGCATATTTATAAGAAGTGAAAATTTTCCAGATGTACTATAGTTGAAACTTTAGGGTTCTCAGAAGTGTGATATTAAATAGATAGCTCATATGTCTCCCTTATAAAAATGAGCGCCATTTTTTTTTTTAAATTTGACACCTGCTTGTGTAATAAAATGAATTCAATCACTTCTATTCAACATCCTCATAAAACATTGAGGAACAACTAATCCTTCTGTATAAAGATTAGTTTTTTCTTTAAACAGTATTTAGTTAATGATGGTTGATATGGGATTGTTATAAGTGATTTATTTATAAATACTGTGTGACCTGAGTGTAACCCCCAGTGTCATGGATGTTGACGGTGACCTCACACATTCCTGTGACATGTTTGACATCACACATTACTGCATGCATCATGACATCACACACTTCAACCAAACCAGACAACAATCTATGACCATGGATTTTCCTATCTATTTTGGTAGTGATATAGAGGAATTAGTTATGTGATATCCTGTTATGGTATATGTAAGGTAAAGAGTACTATCAAGTTAGAATATGTTATTTTCAGTACATGTATTATGAAATATTTATTTAAGTCACTTTCTACAGAAATGTGTGTGTGTGTTTGTGGTGGGGGGAGCTGAAGGAGTCAAACTGTGGACCTCTCCATTGTTGGACCTCCACTTCTGATGTGTTGTGAGCCAGGAATATGATTATGCACAAAAATGAGAGATGAATACCTTGACAATTGGAAAAACTCTAAGCAAGATTGAAGAACATTTTTCTTTTTGTTGCTTCATTTTCTATGTTTAGGGAAGAGTACTTTAAGTAGAAAAAACAGCTCTGATGTGGAAATCTTCTAAGCAGTTATTACTGGTGAAGTAGTACTCTTTACCTTAACATAAGTTTTTCGATGTCCTGTTATATACTGTAGTGTATATGTGTAACTATGCAATGCTTTGCCAAAATTTAGCTATCAACAACGTTATTGATTATGCTGTAAATTAACACTAAAATGTTTTATTTTCTTTGTTTTTCATAGGAATTTCTGTGAATCATTAAGATGTGATTCAGGAGTCTTTCATGATGTAATGAACGGTATGATATTTCCTGTCTGATTTCTGTCCAAGTTGTCTGGGACATAAGAGCCCAGAGACATGCTGAGTAAAACTTCACAAACTATTGCACTATGCTCCTTTGCCAACTTCATCAACTCGGCAGATCGAGTTATAATGCCGATCGCCATTGTACCAATGACGGACGAGTACCGATGGGACCTCCATGGCCAGGGCTGGGTGCTCAGTTCATTTGCTGTGGGATACATGAGTAGCCAGGTAAAATTAGCTTTCTCCTGTTGTCTTTAATTTGATTTGATTTCTTTTTAATATTTCATTGTCATAAAAAGGCACTTAAAATATATCTGTTCGTTTTCAGAGATTCTCTTATAGAAAGTGAAGTAGTATAACAAGTAGTTCATACTATATGTTGATTGCTTGACCACCCATACATTTTTATTGTGAGATTATTTTTTTGTGGAAGATTTGTTTTTTTGTTTTGTGGATATGCTTAATCTATGAATTCAAATGATTTACTGACTGGAAAATTTGTACAGGTCAGTAAAAACTGACATTAATTTGTCTGGCAATCTCCTCCTACATTTTTCGACCAATCTATTTGAAACTTGGTATACATTATAATCATGATATGAAGTTGTGTCTCCCTTAAAAGAGTTTTGATACGACAATTATTCCAAAAGTTATTGCCCTTTGTTCATTTCAGTATTTAATTTTTGTCCGGAGATCTCCTCCTACCATTTTCAACGGATCTCTTTGAAACTTGGTATTCATTATAATCATAATATGAAGTTGTGTCTCCCTTAAAAGAATTTTGATTTGACAATTTTTCCAAAAGTTATTGCCTTTTGTTCATTTCAGTATTTAATTTTTTGTCCGAAGATATTCTCCTACATTTTTTATAGCATATCAGCTAACCACTCTTAGAATGATGCAGATCTTATTTCCATGTAAGAAAGTATATAACACTATATGGCATTCGAGGGGCGTATTTTGTTCCGCCCCACGGTATTCTTGTTGATATTGGTTCTGTGTTTTTTCATGTGGTGCATTGTACTGTTGACTTTTTTCTATCTCAGGTGATTGGAGGAAGTGGTGCGAAAAAGTATGGTGGTAAAACTATCCTCACCATTGCAGTCCTCCTCTGGTCCTTCTCGACATTCCTTGTTCCTTTCTTCGCTCATTCAATCAATGCTCTCATCATGTCACGAGTCTTACTCGGCTTGGGAGAGGGGCTAGGTAAGAGCAACTCTCAATCTTGTCACATTTAACACATAATGGTACATGTTGTCATGTGCAAGATCTTAAAACATAAATCTTTACTGATAATTAATGAAATCGCAATTTTTTGAAAATTGTCAATATGATCAACATGTAATATTCAGTACTAAGGGTAAGAAGTCTCAGTATTGAGACTGTTTACTTTGGCCTTTGCATAATGTTTTGTACTCATGTTTTGGACATTGGCCTTAATTTTTACCATTCTTGCATAAATAAATATTTGTTGTTTGCACATATAGACTCTACAGAAGAGCACCTATTTTTTAAGCCATATTACCGGTACTCACCTGCCCCTATAATTTACATACACCTGCCGTTATAATTTACATACACCTGCCGCTATAATTTACATACAAGGGTAAAGACATAAAACATTATTTATATATATGTATATATTCGCTCCGAAAATTTGACAACCTAAACTTGTCCACACTGTTGGAATTACTTCTTTGCCCCATATATATATATATATATACCTTGTTTCAAAACACATTAAAGGCATTTTTACCTTAACGTCAGTAGACAGTTACATTACCCGTACACTGTTTGTTTTGTTTGTTTTTTGTAGGTTTACCAACAATTTTCCACATTTTCTCCCATGCCATACCCAGTGAGGAGCGGTCCAGGGCCTTTGCTTACCTGGTGGCGTTTGGTTCCATTGGCCAGACGATGGCATCTGTCGTAAGCAACTAACTAACTGTACACTACATAGATCTTTCAACCAAATTTGATATAAAAAATGAAATATCTATAGTTTCAATAGTATTTTGTTTAAAAAACCCATTAAATTTCTTTAAAAGGTTAGCATAATTGTGCAAGACTTTGTTTAGTTTTCATGACAAGGATGACGAATGAGGCTTGGTCTGTAGAAGATTTTAAAACATGATCAATGTATACATAGAGATGAACAACATCAGCACCTAAAGAAAAAGTTTATATAGAATTATATAGATGATAAGAAATTCCATCTAAGAGGATTAGGAACTATATTCACACTTGTTCGTTTCCTCTAGGCTCTAGATCTTGCATATAAGTTGACAAAAAAAGTGACAAAAATATTCTGTAAAATAAAACTGATTTCTATATAGATAATATTTTCCACTATTTTTGAAGCCTTTTTTCTGGGCCCTGTGTAACATCCTACTCTGTACTGTTGGATCAGTCTCAGGATCTGCATTGTATATAACTTTTTGATAAATTAAGTATGTCGATCTACTTTTCAGATTTGCCCTCACTTGTCATGGCAATGGATGTTTTACCTGTTCGGCTCCCTAGGGGTGCTCTGGGTAATCTTGTGGACTGTGGTCTATAAGGAAGTGAGGGGACCTTTTGAGGAAGAGTTCGTAGAACCACCAAAGGTATTCGAAGAAAACCTCAGAATTGTCTACTGATTTTCAAAAAGTTTACTTCATATTGAACATGCAGGTTACATTCGGTCACATCTTACATGAGTGCATACTTGTCATCAAATGATCTCAGAGAAGTACATACACTTTGGAAATATAGAGAGAAAAAAGGCCTGAGGAACAAAATTCAGAAAAATATTATACATTTTGACCCACATTTTATCTTCTATTTCAGATTTGAAACTTCTGTTAAAGTATTCTCAGATAAATACATGTTAACAGTTTAAATATTTTCTATTTGCAGTTAATATGTTAACTCACAAATGTTAGTTTTTGGAAGTTACTTTTAGACAACAAATGTTTGTTTGATGATTTGTAAACAATTCATTATCATGGCACAGACAACAGCATTTTATATTTTGTGTAAGTAAGTATGAGTGATTATTAGTAATTTGATGTCTATGTTTCAGGTAAACAACACTAATGTATCATGGGGAGCGTTCCTCTGTCACTGGCCCTTGTGGTCCACATACATTGCCCACTTCAGCATGAACTGGTCCAACTACATCATCATGCAATGGCTGCCTACCTACATGACCCGCAGTCTCGGGGCTGACCAGAGCCACATCATGTTCACCGCCGTGCCTTACTTAATGAACTCTGTGGTAGGAATGGGTAAGTATTCGTAGTTGAATATCACTGATGTTCTTTCATGAATTCCTGATGTTGTAGTTGAGACAAGTGTCACTATAACAAGGTTTACTAGACTGTATTACACCTATAGGCTGATTCCCTTTGTATCTTTACAATAAAATGTGTTTAATCTAACTGAGCTAATTCCTACACAGTAGGTCAGATTCAGGATTCAATCCAGCAGTTTCCATAATACTTCTTTTCTAGAGTCAAGGTCTCATAAGGTGTTCGCAGGTAGATTCTTGTTAAGCCTAGTGAGCCTCTCTTTCTGTTGCAGTGGCTGGTCATTACGCAGATTCATTAATAACACGTCACAAGTGGACAATCCTGTCAGTCCGGCGGCTAATGACCAGTGTTGGACTCCTGGGGCCAGGACTATTTATTTTATTTTTCAGTGCTGTTAATAATTTACCTCTTGCAGTTATGTAAGTACCTAAATTCTTCAAAGGGCCGGTTTCCAAAACGGCCCCTTCTCTGATTCAAATTTCCTGTTGGTGGTGCATTGCCCATGCCGTTGTGGCCACAAATCTATAAAGTATAAAGATTTAGGTCACTTGGTTTGTTTTTTATGGCTCCTCAAAGTTGTACCTTTCAGAAGCTGTCTAAGTGTTGATAAAATGTGCATGTTATGTAAAATATTAATGAAAATCTAATCAAATGATGGTCACCGTAAAGAATACATTCATGGCATGATTGTGACAAAAAATCATGTTTCCATCGCGCCATTTGGCTGTTTTATGGAAGAAACAATCTCAAAAATGCCATTTTCGATGATAACATTTTAGACACAAAAACTGTGTTTTTTAGAGAATACACCCTTTTATGGGCGTTGGATGCAAACCAATTTTTATCCTATTAAACAGTACGTAATATGCTATTGATGAGAGGAAAAATCATCAAAATGTAAGTGGTGGAACATTTTCAAATGTTGGGTTGAATTAGCCTATGGTTGAATTGCCGATTTTCGACTTTCTTTAGATAATTAACAAAAAAACGAGAGTATTTGCTCGGTATGTTGAGAATATGTACACAGATATGAAAAAAAGTGAGAGAAACACTTTTTCATAAAAAAAATCCAAGATGGCTACTTCACAAGTCCCCGTGGTTGAAGACATTGGCTGACAAATAGACAGAACAACAAACAAAACGTGTTCCTTATGATTTTGGTTGGTTTTCGCATTTACGGGAGTGTTCATAGCTACGGGCGATTGTATAATACCTATATTTATAAGTTTGGTTAGTCACATGGTAACGGGGATCTTTCATATCGAGCCCCAAACATACTTTCGACATATGCACTCCGTTGCCGCATGGAAAACTATTTCAAGTTTTGTCGGAATTTCTTTACCTGTGGTTGTAATGGTCGAGGGTTTTCCAGCGTCCTGTAATACCCAAGGTAGTACAAGATACTGGAGATGTGCGCACACATTCCCATCGTTCTCTCTCCAACTGGGCACTGGCAGTAGTAGTCCTTTATTGGGGCCTCAACATCGGGTGAAACGGTGAACCGTATCCAAACGTTATATTTCGTTTGGCTTTTGTGTCGAGAATGTATTTGACATCGGAGAAGGTCTGGGGAGTGCTGGTAAAGCCACACCTCATAGTCTCCGTCATCACTTAAATGTTCGGCGATGTAACCAGGAGCCAGAGATATCTGATACGTTCCACACGTAATGGTTCTCAAGTAATCAAGATCGAGACGGGGAAACAGTACGGAAGATGCATCCATCTTGACAAACTCGGACCTTGCCCGTCTAGATAGATCCGGATCTGTCTTGACTCTCTGAGCTAAACCATTCGGTGTTGTCAAACGGTCCTTCATACGTTCAGCCATTAGCCTATCTTTGGCATCTCTCTCTGGAGATCTCTGGTAGATCGGTCCTCTAATACCATTCAGACAGGCTGTGACGGTTCGAAGCAAAGCCTCGATGACATTGATAAAGCTGTTAGACACCAATTGCGTTCGGAAGAACGTCCAGTGTTTCAGACGACCATGATAGGATTCCACAATCCACCTCGATTTGGTGATAGTTCTGTCAAGATTTGCTTGGACGTCAGAATGTTGACTTTGACCGGGTTTCAGGTATGACGGCATGCTAGCATTGAGGCCAGAGGCTTCGAGAACTGGTAGGACATCTCTAAAACCTCGGTCAACGACAACGTTGTCGTCTGGTTGTAGCCAAGTAACTAGCTTGTCCATGACTTTTTTTGTAATTGTAGCATCATTTTCGCTGCCAGTGAATGGTCCTACTGTGTCCAGAATGTAGCCATCTGGTAAGGCGATGCTCATGAATTTGAGATAGTTTCTCTTCTTCTGGCCACAGTAGGACATTCTCTGGAGCTTGTGGTCGGAGCTTTTCTGGATATAAATATAGGTGCCATCTAATATGGCAGTGGCTTTATCTCCAAAAAATGCTTCTGAAAAGACAGTATTGTGCCCGAGCAACTGTTCTCTTGTCAAGTGATCCGGACCTAGAAATTGTGGGACTATCGATGTGTCTAATGCCTGTACTATGGAGTGGAAAGTTTTGGACACACTTGACTTGGAAATTCCAAAAAGAGAAGAACACTGACTCCAGGAAATGTCGGTTTTCAGTTTTACCCAGAACAGTAATAGAGCATCGTGTGTAGTCTTGGTATATATACCAGATGAAAGATATGGGGAACAGTGCGAGTGGATTTCGAGGAACTGATCTTTGGACCAACCTGTCCAGGCCATGCATGCCGAGTCATCAAGAGAAGAAAAGCTTATTGTAAACGCAGACTGGTTCTGTGAAAGGACGTGCGACACCTCTAGGAGGTCATTAATGATTTCGGACGATTTTGATGGTAACTGAGATTCCAAGGAACCTCTACCATCAAGGACAACCTCTGTAGACGGATCTAAGTCGTTACCAATAAGGTGAATGGAGCAGACGCGGGATGAGGTGGGACACCACAGTTTGTGTGAATAGATCAGGTGATGTCTTGCACGTTTTGGTAAGACTGATGATTTTGTTCCATTTCTTGCAAAGGTAACAAGACAGAGACAGCATTTTTTGTGTGAAGATGATCCATTCAAAAGATCATGAAGGGTCAGCAACGGCAGGATATGGGACGGGGAGTCGTCTTCTTCCTCTATTTCCTGGTTCTGCTCGGGTTCAGGTTCAGGCTGATTTTTGTTCCGAAGATACTTCATGTAGCACTTCTGGCAAATAAGTGCTTGTTCCTTTGCTGACATCAATCCTTGTTGCACCAGCGTATCTAGGAGCCATTTATATTGTGGACTATTTACATTGCGTGCACTTCTGTTCTTATTGCCACTACGTTTCTTGAAGTATACTTGACACCCTTCTCCAACACATTTACCCTCCATCTTGAAACAATAACGATTGGTTTATGAAGCGTCGATAAAGTAACAAAATAGCAAGCCACCGATGATTGCTGTAAACAGCTAATACTTAGTAGTTTGGTACAATTATGCGAAAATGTGTGATAAATAACGAACAACTAATTACACAAAATAACAAGACAATATAATAAATCACATTCAATACCTCCAAGAAGCGCAGAATTGATTGATTACTTAGAACAAAATAAAGTATTTCATATGGATAATCTATCTATTCGATGTGGCGTGGTCGGCAGGCACAAAGAAAGTGAGACAAGTCAGGGTCCCAACCCTGACAGAGCCACAACGCTTTGGAGATGGGACAATAAAACAAGGAAAGTGAGACAAGAATAGCTAGCGTCGAGTCAATGATTCCGTAAACGTATAGACAAAGACAAGAAGATACGGATAAATGTACAAGGCCACACGATCAGAAAATTCAGAAGAGGACAACTTGAGATAGAACAGTATTCATGTATCAGGGTGTCCTCAGTGTAAATCTTTATATCGATACTGTTTATTTAGTCGTTACACATCATAAAACTGTCATGAAAATATCCGCTCTGATATTCAATATAAAAGTTTGTATATAATAAGCTATATAATAGGGTTTCAGACAAGGTTGTTACTCATTTCCCCTTTTCTTTCAATTTACAACCACATTCAGGCGGCGATATGAGAACGTTCCACCACATGGAATTAGCTGATTTTTGGTACACATATGAAACAAGTAAAGCTCTATCCGATTTTCTGATGGAAATTTGCATCCAAAACTATATAACGGGAGAAAATTGCAATTTTATGGCATTTTTCTTCATAATTGTGTCTCTGCAAGTGCATTTTCATCCGAAAATTTTTTTTTTTATGTTTTATGAATAAACACGATGTTTTGGAAATATTTATCAAAAGAAATTTATACTATGTTGCGAATTACAATTTCGAGATAACCTTCTTTTATTTACGAACTTATGTCTTTGATGCTGAAATTGACAACTTTATAAAAATACATTTTCACTGAAATTATGAAATCTGGGTGTCGGAAAGGTGTAAAATTATACTTCGGAAAAGAAAAAAACAGTAGTTGAGCTAGATAAGAAATTATACGGGGGCAGGCTCCTATGGAGAATTAACATTACTGGAAACAGGCCCTTTGAATTTCTGTAATTCAGACCTCGATAATTTGAAACATAAATTTTCAAGACTTTCAAAAGTTTTCTCAGGGGTTTTTGGAAAAGGGAAAACTTCAGGGGAAAAAAATCATGTACATGTACCAGTATATTACTTAAGTAATAGGTAATACACAGTAACGTATGTTATTACTATTTTCAATGTATCGTGTTTTTCCCAATCTTAATTCGTGAACTCTTTCTGTTTCAGATTTGTCTCCATATCACTTGGTCTGAGTGCTTGTAACTCCTCGGGACATCTTAGTAATCATGCTGAGATTGCTCCCAACCATGCTGGCATTACTTTCGCCATATCAAACACACTAGTAAGTATAGACACATATGGTACACACAGCTATAACAGAGGACACTAGCAAATAACAGACAGTTCACTAGACGATCCTGTAGTTTTTTACTACAGGAAAATACTGGAGTTATATTACCTGGTACATGAAAAACCACTGAATTAAGACCATAGAAAGAGCAGGTCATGGCCCCTGTCTAAATTTGCTACTTCAATTTTGTAGTTGCTAGTTTGTTAGAAATAATATTATAAATAACTTTTCAACCTGAACAAACCAATGTCCAATTAGTGACATTTCCAGATTGTTTTAATGTGTGCATTGATAATGTGCCAGTGTACTTGTGCTATCTATGAATCCTGTGGATACAGATGGTTTGCCTGTATAATTTCTCTCACAAAAAAGTTTATATAAAAATGGCATCAATGGTTTTGATACAGCCACAATATCCTTTAATTATAGTTTTAATTAAACTAAAAAGAAGTCATGCCTTGTTAAACAACAAATACTGTAGAACATCTATTGACAGAGTGCTGTGTTATTTGACAGGCTACTATACCTGGTATTCTCTGTGGTCCGCTGACAGCTGAGCTTGTGATGCAGAGCCATGGACGATGGTTTCCCGTCTTCATCATCGCGGCAGGTGTGAACTTTGTGGGTGCAATCATTTACCTAAGTCAAAGTGCAGCTAGCCAAATCTTATAGCCCAAGGTCTGTCAGTTACTGAGACCGATAAGTTTAGGTCCTTGTTGCACCCTGTATGACATACAGTTGATGGTCTAGTTGCTGCACTGGATCAAGGTTTATGAGAGCAATAGGTCCATTACATTTTATACTTATATTCCTTGGCTTGGTTACTGGAGGATATTTAAAGTATCAAATACTCCCAGTAAGTAAGTTAAAAGGTTCAAATAATCATTGTCATGGTTAATTATAAAATAAAACCAAAGTTTGAAGAATACAATCCTCAATAGTTTTTGCCTTTTCAGGCTTGAATGGGGGTAATCTTCAGGAGCCTCAGAGTCAAAATCGCTAGAGTAATGTTAAAGTCAAACTTTGGATTTGTTATATAATTATGTACTGAATATGAGTGAAGTTCAAATTCATAGCTAGTCATAGTTTGGATATTTTTATACAGCCATATCTATATGTGTGAAGAAATAACTTCTAGCTCACCTGCCCAAAAGGCAGTTGACTATATATCTTGGGGTGTCATCCGTCTGTCAAATCTTTATTCTATAAGTTACTAGTCTAATAGATTTGACAAAGCCAGGGGATTTACATTGTAGTTGTAGAACCACGAGTGTGCCCCCATTTTGACCCCCTAGGGGCAGCGTAATAGGGGTTGGAGGGGCAGCGTAATAGGGGATGGAGGGGCAGCGTAATAGGGGGCGGAGGGGCAGCGTTATAGGGGGCGGAGGGACAGCGTAATAGGGGCGGAGGGGCAGCGTTATAGGGGGCGGAGGGGCAGTGTCACAGGGGACAGATGGGAAGCGTAATAGAGGGAGTACTTAAAAGTTTCAGGGTTTGACGTCCTTGCAACAGCTAAGGTAATTTACAGATAGATGTCTAAGGAGACATTTTGATAAAAAAGAGTAGATATTAGGGAGAAATAGACAGAGGTCGCAAATGTCACAGCAGGGGCAGCAGATCAAGTTTGGTTTCTTTAATGTTCTCTAACCAGAGGATACAGAAGAAAATCCCTGAGCCTGCCAGGGATCCCACATAGTCGCCATAATAGGAATATTTCAAACCCTGCTGTTTCAATATGAGTGATGGGATTTTAATCTCAAAGAAAACTCAGTGTTTTATAAATAAAGTGTTTGTCCCAAATGGGGTAAAAGGGATATAGGAACCAATAGGGGGGTACAGGCACAAGAAGATTGTTTTAACTTAGTATGTTAAAAGGTCCCTGGACCATGGATTCTGAAAAATTATATTGTGTATATGAAGAGTGTGAAGACCTTGGTGCAGAGGGGTATTTTATCAAGGCATTACTCAATTTTTGCCAGTTTTTAGCTTCTATTTGTTTAGCACTTTTGATATAAATGTACAGTTTTGGACACGAGCAAAGAACAAGTGGGCTATTCAGACTCCTGGGCCTCTTGTCTCTAAATGCTGAAATATGTCTGCATGCTCAAAGAATTTTGCTGGAAATTGTATTTTCCTTGTCTAACATTTGTTATAAGGTATTTGGATGAAATTTTATTGTTTAAGTTTGCAAAAAGACAACTTTTATCATATTATGAAAGTATGCACAGTACACATATACTTAAAAAACTGATAAAAATTATAAAACACATGAAGATAGCACTTGTATACCAAAACAGTGTTTTTTCAGGGTTTGAAAGAGGGATGGGGAATAGAAAGTTTTACATGGCAGAATTTTAAAAACTTTGAGGGACTGTATATTATCCCTCACACAGGAGAAAACACTGCCAAATGGCATTTTCCACACATCATGATATGTCTTCACCATACATGATGAACATCTTGTATGGAGTGGAATGATTGGAGATTCTGGCTACTTATTGATGAACAGTTAAATATCAATACTTGAGCGTCTGGTATTTGGGAACAGAGATATGATATACGACAGAATACTCGATCATTAGGAGAGGGACAAGAAGCATCTGTGATATTTAGCAACATGGTTGCATTTCTCTGCCATTTTTTTGCTCTATAAATTTTTGAAAGGCCAATATATTTTTTTTCAATCATTGAATGTATGCAAGTTTTGGAGAAGTATTTCTCAATTGTGTGGTTAATGAGATTTTCATCATATTTATTTTTTAGTTGTAAGACTTAAAATATTTACATGTTGTACCATAGACAGACTTATTACAATGCTTTGCCTTTCAGTGGTAAGTTGGATTTATGATGTAATGTGTGACTGTTACAGACTTTGTACCATAGACAGACTTATTACAATGCTTTGCCTTTCAGTGGTAAGTTGGATGTATGATGTAATGTGTGTCTGTAACAGACTTTGTACCATAGACAGACCTATTACAATGCTTTGCCTTTCAGTGGTAAGTTGGATGTATGATGTAATGTGTGTCTGTTACAGACTTTGTACCACTTCTGTGGATGAAATATGAATATAAAGCTTTGTATCTAATGCCTGTTCAGCTTTCCCCTGAATCTTGCTTTTTTTCGAGTCTTTTGATTCTTTTGTCATGTTCTCATGAAAATTTCTCCTTACTTATAACATGTGAAAGTGTTTGACATATAGAATCCCATCAAAATATACGGGTAATAATGTAGTAACAGGTTATCTAACATTAACATGGGCTAGAATAGTGTAAGACAGGTCCCATGTTATACATCCCAATTTGAAACAACGTTTTGTGATAATTTCCATATAAATAAATTTTGCCATTTTGAAATGTCACAAATGCATAGGAAAAATTGTTTTTCATATTTCCAACAATGCATTGTAGCATTATCAAGGTGAGGCTAAAATGTACTTTGATACTTTGAACTGTCTCTTGCCGACACTTTGCAGACCTTGTATCTATGAGTTACATGATAGCGTTAACAGCCATGGATCCAGGGGGAAGTGTGTCCCTGATCCTGAAATTGGTCAGTACATGTACTGCTTATATTAATTTAAATGTTATTTTTAAATCTACCACGATACATATACATGCACCCTCCCCATGGAACAATATTTTGATCTCGAAAAAACTCCACTTAAAATGTTGTAGCCTATCTAATTATTTAGATTTAATTTGAATTAACTCATCTTTTCCTTAATACCATATGGGGTTTCATTTAAGGCTTTGCTTATAGGTAATCTGAAAGGTTGAAGTGCTTTAATGGTGAATTATGTCTAAGGCAACATAAAACACTTACTCTAAATCTGTATCTTATGCATGATCATGTTCAAATCTATTTATTTAAGGAAATATCATTTACCTTCACTTGACTATTTACCCTTGCACCATAATTGTGTAATTATTTGGCCATAATGCCATTGACTCTGTGACTTGAAGTAAATCTCTCTGTGCACATGTACAAAACGTACTAATGGCAATAATTAAGGTACGCTTGGAATTCTGTACATGTTTTAAGTCATTTGTGTGTGATGTTTTTTATAACATGCTTTTATGATAGCTAAATTTTTTAATTAAAAATCATCAATCACTCTTCTTAAAAATGTAACTTAACATAATTCTTCAGTAAAATCAGGACATAATTGATTAGAAGTAGCAATATTTGATTGATTTAACGAGATACGTTGAGCTTGTTCCGTGGTCATTTAAACATGTTTGATGGGTAATGAAGGTCCTGTCTTCTGACCCTTCACCAGTCAGTCAGTCCTTTCAGAGACAATCTATAACACAGGATGAAAAATAGTGGAAAACCAGACACGTTTACATTTGTATATTACTTTATACATCTCTGGGAAAACTTAATAAAATTATGATTAAATTGGACACTTAATATAGTATTGTACAGCAGTACTCAGCAATGGAGAATTAGGACTCATTATAAGTTGACATGATAATGGGGGTATGGCTATATCTGATCAAATACTTACCATGATATACGTTTGTAGTGAGGCTGTTAATGTTGAATGTGTTTACTGTATACCTGTATACACTAGTCCTGTTAGCGAGTACAAAGTCCGAGTGTAAGCCCGACCATGCCTGGTGACGGTGTGACTGAAGTATGTGTTATGTACTGTAAACTGTACAGTAAAACCTTGTTAATATCGCCGTAGTTTTATATGCTTACCACTGGCATATCTTAAGGCCCGTTTTACTACTTTTCTTTATTATTTCTTAGTATTCTCCCTCTTGCTGTGTTGCCAAAACCTCGGGACATTCGGTGTCAGTATAACCAGGTTTTACTGTATGGAGTACTCGGTGTCCAGCATCTTCATGGATTACCGTTGTTAGTGTATGATTGAGTCTATAAACGTATGTAAAGTGATGATAGTGTATGATTGAGTCTATAAACGTATGTAAAGCGGTGTTAGTATATGATTGAGTCTATAAACGTATGTAAAGCGTTGTTAGTATATGATTGAGTATATAAACTTATGTAAAGTGCGCTGTCCTGATGAAAACATATTCTGCATACAATCCCTGCTAAGGACAAAACTGACCCTTCCCATTTTAAACTGGTTGTTTTAGAATCCGTAGGCCATTTTATATTGTGTACTGTTAAGAGAAAACCTCCTGAAATCTCTCCCCTTACGTACCGTGAAATATTCCATGTACCCTCAGGCCTGCTGGGTATATCACTTATACAAAGTATTTTCGCAAAAGAAGAAACTCTAGGACAGTGTCGTATACGAATCCTAGGTAAATGTAGAAGTTTAGAGAAAGCAGTGTTTTAGGTTCAGTCTTTAACACAAACACGTTCCGTGGGACTTTTCTCTGTTGTTACATTTACTATGGGGATACTAGTTTAGCTCAAAGTGTTAAAGTAGAATTCTTATTAATCTGTTTTTTTGAAAGCTGAAATATTTTTTGCAAGACATATACTGCCACGGCCAAAGATATTTAGTTTCATTAGGTGGCATTTTTCTCTGAGGATTACTTCGACTCTGAAACACAGTAAATCATCTTGATCAAAATCCACTAAAAATTAATTCGCTAGTATAATTTAATATAAATAATATAAGAACGACTTCACCTTGAGGCAATGAAACTAAACACACCTAAGGTATTTTCATACTTGACCTTTACATTTATGATCAGAATCTACATAAAAGACGTTGCTAGAACAAAGGCACTGTTTCGGTTGCCTTTGTATACCAGAGTAACAGAAACGGTGATCTGCATCCTATTTCACTTAAAAACAAACACTGGAAGGGAAGGATGGGGTGGGCCTAGGGTAATAGTTAATATCCAACATCTTGTCCACAGTGGTGTAGGATTTGATGTCCATGAAAGGTTTGTATGAGAATATGTCTTCAGTCTTGTCAGTGAGTTATTCATTTGCCAAAGAACAAGAGTTTATTCATACTTCCATAAGCCATTTTTATTGCCAATAAAGTCCAATGATTAAGGAGTATGCTTATAAAACTTCTAAACTGTATATGATATACCACGGAATTAGATTATCTAAGTCGTGGATGAACCATGTGAGAAAATTTTCCTAATATTTATATTTCACACTTTGGTTTTTTTTCTGGGTTTTTCTGATATTACAAAGTAAAAAACACGTTGAAAATGCCTTAAAATTTGACAAAAGAGCGACATTTATATGATGATCAAAGGGAATCTATTGAGTGACATTTATATGATGATCAAAGGGAATCTATTGAGTGCTTTGTTAGTTGTATTTCCTGAAACAAAGCCAGGATATTTGGACGGTAACCCGTCAAAAACAAGTTCATGTCGTACTAGTTGACCGGAAGTTCATCATCACATTTCTCTTTTGTAGTGTGAAGTTATAATTAACTTTGATATCTTTATATTAACTCATGGCAATTGAATGGGATCATAGTGATACGAGTACTTATTGCTAGTACATATCAAAATGTCATTGCATTGTGCATTGTAAAATAATATCATTACAATTTACAGTGTATATACAAACCATACGGAAATGTAACTAAGAAACGATACAGAAGTATCGGTAAACATCAACAGACCGGCCCACTTATGGTTTAAAAACGTTTTGATGTAAAAGGTAAATTTCGCGGCTCATGTTTTAATGAAAATTTTAGAGGAAATATTAGAAAAGGTGAACTTGAAGCATTTTAGTCTATTTTTGAATTATTATTTAAGTGTGATGTAAAGTTGAGGTCTTTGAACAGCTGGCCCAAAGTTTGTACTTTTAGAAAAGAAGCAATATTCAAGCAATGAGTTTTCTCCGTAACCTGTCAAAACTACTCGCTTTAAATAATAGACTTAAACCTATAAGTTATAGATATTTTAATGAACCTTACGTGAACAGGATATATTGAAATGTTGTTTTCCGTTTCATTTATTTGTCAAAGAATTATCGCCACTATTTTTGAATGTTGCCAAGATTTGCTCAATATGTGTCAATCATAGAATGTGTGATCATAAGAATGTAATAAAATGCTGTCCTTTACCCGTGTTGTATATTTGTATGTATACATCTATTGTATTTACTTTCTACCAGAATTGCTTGAATTTTAGTGACACGTATGTATACTAGTAGTTCCAACCATTGATGAAGTCACATTAGGACAAAATAGTGACAGTTGTGATTAAACGTAGTTCATAATGAAACTTAGAGAGACATACCGTTACGATATAATTGTCAGTGCAGACAACACATATATTACTTTATATTGTTTTTAACGGTATGTCCCTTAAACTACATGTAAAGATTCCCGAAATAGCCCAAGTTGACAAAATTGGACATCACGAATCAGTTACTGAAATATAAATGTTTATTTAAAGCCATATAGCCGTGATTTTACAGGGTCATCTTTAGTGCTAATATTAATGCCCGGCCTCCTCTGCCCCGCCAGTACTCGGACGACGCAATATATAAAAAAAAATCTCTCGTCGTCAGAAAGCTACGATATAGCAGCTAGGTTACCTTCACCCAACTAGTTGAGTGGCATTTAAGAGAGTTTTCTACTTTCAACTAGCTAGCTTCTTAATATTCACTGCGTGTTGGTGGAAATGTTCAAAAACTTTAAAATAATTTAGAATAGATCTGTCGACTTTAGTGTGACTGGATACTGATAACATATAATTAAAGAATTGCCACGCTGGTCCATTAAAAGATGCTGGATTCGTATTTGATTCGTAAAGAAACCTCAAGCGACATTATTTCAACTACAGGTATTTTATATTTCCTTTTTATTCGCTCTTATCTTTCGATACATATTCGGTAGCATGTTTATTTCCGTCCAACTCTTCAAATTTTCTTGTTGACGTGTATCCATAAGTCAATTAATACGTACACTCCGACACGCATGTCAAAGTTATGCCGCAATGTTTACCAGGATGGATTCGCCTTTAATTCGTCATCAGGGCGATCGGTTTTACCGAATCAATTCGGAGTTACGATACTTGTCAAATTTGATGCATCGAACGACACAACTAGGTGACACAAAAATGCGCATGCCCGGAGGAGAAACGGTATCGCCACTTCCGTGTATATGTTTACACCCGATCACAGAGACCTATCGCAACAATCTGTAACGTAACATGGCTTGTTGGACATGTGGTACCTTAAGGCAACTTCGTGTAAAACGAGCTTTCCCATTGATAAAATCAATTTACAATAATATCGCAACAAGCAGTTAATTTGTATGTGACATCTTTTCTTTATTGATATTAAATGTCGATATTTCTAGAGGCTACCTGTAATCGAAAATATATAAAAAATATAATTATCATTTGACACCTTAATAGACCGACATTCTTACACATTTATATACAACGAGACCACAGCTTATTAGAGACTTATATACACCTTTATACGCCTGTGCTTTTGTCTAATCCGCTCTATATATTTGTTGTCCATATAAGGGAAACCTAACAATGTTGCCCTTTTGAAATATTTTGCAATGAACAGACGAGGAAATTAGGATATAACTTGACACCAGCATTGGTATATTATATCATGTGATTTGGCTGTAGAGACAGTACACATACCATGTAAGCTTCTACCGTATACGCCTTCAAAACTTGATAACTTGGGGTTGGTCGAACAAACCTGTAAGCGGGTCTACATATTTGTCCTGAGCTCAGCACGTCAGTTTTAACAACTTTTGCAGTAGTTAATTCCAGTGTATTTATTTCAATACTAAATGCATACAAAGCAATGTGCTGCGCCACTTGTATCTCTTGTTTTAATCATTTATGACATTTTCGTAACCCGTGACTATACAGTCAAGTTCAATCTTAAATTACTTGTATCTTGGTTGTTTAGTAATATTGTACACTTGGTTTGGACATATTAGTTGTAAATAAAGTACATCTTTTCTTAAAGCTGATCCATCAAGGGGGAAAAGTTGTGACTAAATTCTGACACATCTGCGGAATTCTGGAATGTATTAGGCCTAAGTAACAACCTAGACTCCACAACGATGAGTCCGTATTGATCTGTCAAGACTTACATCACTAAATTAGCTAGGAAAATCAATAAGAACCGAATACGTTTGTAGAACTAATGGGAGTATGCTTTGAATTTAAATAGTTACATGGTAATTACAGATTTTATAGCAAACAACGTTAATAATACTTTTTATTATTACGTGAATAAGTATTGATGAATGACATACCGGTAAATCGGTACATCATATAAAATTTCCCAGTAAAATCGGAGTTTATATAATACAAAAATATCCGTAATTTTAAATTGCCCGCAGCCGCTATGAAAAATCCGGAAGCAGCCAAATGTATTGACACTTCCTACATCACATACATACGTCATCGTGTAGTGACAGAAAACCATGTGACAAAAACCAACGTGTTTGATTGGCTGTTGAAACCTTATGACGACTATTCCACCCCGAATTACGTTAGTGAGAGTTTGATATTTAACGAGGAGAGAACGTTCTCCATTAAGAACCGGAACAGACTTTACCAACACAATCCAAAGAAAACTGTGATATTCATATTTAAAAATGAGAAAAATGGAACGGAAAACTGTGATTTACTTATGTATGTGTGTTGTGTTGATATTGAAATATTCAAATGGACAACCGTTTCCAAATCAGCAATTCGGACAACAGAACAATGGTCAGTTTGGCCCTGTCGCTGCTGGTCAGTTTGTAGGGAATGGACAACCTTTCGCCGGTAACAACCAGGTGCCGCCAACAAATAATCAGGGAACTTTTACAAACAATCAGACTCCTCCGGTAGGAACACAAACGGGAGGAACCTTCAACAACAACCAGCAAGGAACGTTTCCCACAAACCAACAAGGAACGTTTCCCACAAACCAACAAGGAACTTTCCCCACAAACCAACAAGGAACTTTCCCCACAAACCAACAAGGAACGTTTCCAAATAATCAACAACAGGGACAGTTTCCAAACAACCAACAACAGGGACAGTTTCCAAATACATTTCAAGGAAATCAGTTCGGACAACCCGGGGGAATTCCTAATTTCGCCGGACCAAATACACAGCCACCTTTCAATTTCCAAAACAACGTCGTAGGTTTTCAGAACCCTATTGGGGGCTTTAACACTGTTGGGAACCAGTTCGGAAACCCTTTTATTCCCGGAAATAACTTCGGCGCGGGAGGTCCTTTTGGGATCGGACCTGGAATACCAGGACCTATTCAAGGACCAGAACAAGGTAAAGTTATAAAAATTACACTCAGTCCCAATCAAAAAGTTATCTATTAAAAAAGTAATTGTAATTTATCAATTATAAGACCGTCAACAGATTAAACTGGCGATAAAATGGTACAATCGAATCTATAATCAGCTAATTCAATTCAAGCAAATTCATAATTAGTCAAATAAGGTTATGTTACCAATCTAATATTAGTAAAATGCCATAATCAAACCTGTTATTGATCAAGGTCGAGAAATAATCATTATTAGGCGCAATTAATTCCTACCTATTCTTTGTAATATTTTTTTTATGTTGAAGTTAAAAAATCGTATTTGACCCAAAATGATCTACATTAGGGTTTTCTAGATTTGTAGAAGGTATGATTACAAATCAATACATAGCAATAAGTTAGTAAACAACACTCTTTTTAAATAGACAAATTAATCAAACATACATAACATTCAATGCTTTGTGACAGTTGTTTGGTTTTATTGACTCCGAATTAGCTTTGGTGAAGGTGGAAATGGGGAAGGCGGTGTTGTGGAAGTTCTAGTGTTGCTATATCTACTGTTAACACGTAGTAAAATAACGGCACGAGAAAATATACGTTATATTGTCGTTATAAACAGCTAGTATTCACGATTTTTAACCAGTACTTGTTTCTAACCTATCTTACAAAATCTTATAAATTCGACATTTTCCTTTCAGGCGGACCTGGTGGTCAGTTTTCTTTGGGAGGTCAGCTATTTATGAGTTTGTCCCAGAATCCTATGAACTACCGATACGCCACCTGTCGGTTTAATTCTTCAGATACAAACATTGCCGGCAGGGCTGACCTCAGACAATTCGTAAGTTTGACCTAAAATACATATGTACAAAATAAGCATCTTTGTGCCGAGTTATATGAAAAAAGAAACTCGGCTTGTCTGGTGAAGAGCTTTCCCTTGTTCGGTTATTGCGTGACAAAAGAACCGGCTGGTTTAGGCTGATAAACATGTAGAAGATGAAAATTTCCATTGTATTTCTAATAAAAAAGGTATATATTGAAATATTAATAATTAATTTTCTAAATCTCGAAATCGGACTCGAAATCGTATTCGGACAAGTTTTTTCATTCAACCTACAATTAATTGCTTTGTTCAGAAATCCAATTTGTCGGCCTGACTAGGCTCCGCTTTGTTCCCAAATTCTTGTCACCTATCTATAAAATCTAAATTCTTCCCACCTATCTATAAAATCTAAATCATTTGATTGTGTCATGCGAATCAATCGGCGACATATATAACTATCAACAGCTGGTATTTATAATTTATGGCTAAGGGTGGAATAAGACAAGGTTCCCTTTTCCTAACATAGTTCTTTTGATATTTTTGAAATCTACAAAGGGGAGGATTTTTAATATGATTTGTAAATATAGAATGCAGACATATGATACCATGAAATATTGCGCTTACCATTACTGTATATAAATTAAAAAACGACCAACAAATTTTTGAGTACAATTTTAGGTAAATAAAAACACAGTTATTTAAAAGCGAAAAGGTGAAGTAATTACTACCCAATTGCCGATATGGAATCTCTGATTCACGACTGTTCGATAACTTGAGGAAACGTCTTCATTTTTTTTTGGTTGTATGCCAATGTCACGGCCAAATTAAAAAAAACAAATCCGTAAGTTCAGCTTTTCCTATGAAAAATCTTCAGTTTCTGAGTTGAAGTTATGGATTGTTTGTATCTTGGTGCTGATAAAAGCATTTGATTTACCTAGCATTCCGTGTATACATACATGTATATGAATTTGATAATTTCTGTGATATTATTGTAGGTGTTCGGAGATTTCCCAGTCGACATCCGTATCCAGGTTTGGGGCCTTCCCAGATCCCCGGTTGACACACAAAGGGGTATCCACATCCACGAGTTTGGTGATGTTGGTGCAAAGTGTTCCCGTGTTGGGCCTCATCTTAACCCTGCTCAGACCAGACACGGCGGCAGGAACACGTTTGCCTTGTAAGTATCGTTCTTTGCTTTGCTACATGTATATACTAAGCGAGGTTTCCAACCCAGAACTGCGGCCAAATTACATGCACTAGTGTCATGCTCAAAAGCAAAGAAAGTAACCAAGCAATTACATGGTTCATCGCTGATCAAACCTCTAGCCGAGTCCGTAACATCGAAACGAATAGATGTTTCATCACTTTAAAATTGACTTATAGATTTTTTTTTATATATATCTCTTACAAAACTTGCAAATGATAAGAAAATATGAAATAATGACATAGAAAATATCCATGAACAAATCAACAAAAAACAAAAGGCAAAATCCGAAATCTCCATTAGTGTATGCATTTTAATATGTGACGATAACCGAAACGTTACTTTGATTTCTCCCCTTGCTTTTCCAGTTTGAGACACGTCGGTGATCTTGGGAACATGCTCCAATCCCCACAGGGTGTGACGTCAACCCAGTTCCGCGATGGAGTTATTTCCCTTCAGGGGCCAACCAGTGTTATAGGACGTTCTTTAGTGGTAAGTAAAACGGCGAGATCGCCAACACAGCCAACTAATAGTTGTATCAGGCTAAAGATCAGTGAAGAAAAAGATATGACTAGTTACAATTGGTACTATTCAAGACGTGGAGTTTTTTCTATGGTTTGATTAATCGTTAATGCGTACATTTAGGATTTGTAATAACATTAATACGGAGTCGCTACCAATTTACAGTTCAATTGACTAATATTGTGTAAACAACCTTGTGTTCTGGAAACAATAAAGAATTAAAACAATCTGACTTAAAGCATATCTTGATCTACGCTCCGTTCCGTAGGCGAGATAAAGATATGCTTTTAATCAGATTGGAATAAAAAGGGCATTCGTTAAAAGGGAGATAAGAAGATATTTTAACACAAAGCATCTACATGTTAATATAGTTGACTGTTGGTAAAAAGATACCATATGTAACATGTCTGTTTCTCTTGACAGATTAAGTACGAGCGAGATGACGAGGGTTTCGGTACCAATGTGGACAGTCTACAGAACGGTAACGCCCGCACTCCCCTAGCCTGCTGTACTCTCGCACGTTCAGGACCGGCCAACTGGAACGACCCTTACACGGAGGTAGAACTCATGTCACTCAACGGCGGAAGTGCTCCTCTCCAGGGCACGTTTGGTGCGCCTAGTAGTCCAACAGGTAATTAGCAATGTCGCATTATATGTATATAAGGAAATGTAGGTTCCTTATCAATATGAAATAGATATCAAGACAACTCTTTCCGGACAGATACATAAAAATCAAGGAACTGCAGAATAAGACCAGTTGAAAGTTGTATTGGATTAATAACATCTCTGTAAATCGTCTTCTAGTATATTGTTTTACTTCACAAGATGCCAAATAATAACAATCGGGAAAAAACACGTGTTTTCGTTTAATCCATACTTGCACACATTTGTGCTTCATTCCTTATAACAGCACTTGTATCATTATAGTTAATCAGTAAAGAGGTCTCTTAAAAGTTACGTCGTAAAATTGTACGTGACTTGTTTAGGCTATTGACAACGAGACGTGTTAAAATTGGTTACTGGTTCAGGTGATGAAACTGATATTGCTAAATAAAAGCATGTACAAGTTGGTTATCAGTCAAATTAACCCATTTTCTGTTTTATTTTTCGTAGGTGCCAACACTTTCGGTAACCAAGGAAATCAAGGTTCGACATTCAACTTCAATTCCCAGGGAAACTTCGGAACTCCCGCTCCTTCTCCAAACCCTCAGGGAGCTGGGGGCAGCTCGTTCGGATTCCTTGGAAATAATGGCAAAAAGTAAAAAAAAACTGGAGCTTCAGAAGTTAGAAATAACAAACGATTTAGTGTTAAAAAACCTTAATTGGTTAGCTCTGTTAAACGATATACGTATGGACACAAATCGACTTTGATGATTTTATGCATGTCTTAAAAAGAAGATTTGACGATCCCCACAGTTTATAAAAAAAAACTGGGACAATACGAAAGGCGAAGTGGTTAATTCTAATCTCAACAGACCACCGATTACTCTAAACCGAACCCTCAAAATGGTGTAAATAAACCATTAATATACTGTAGCAGACACGTCAGATCTTGTAAATTGTTTGTGTTCGACTTGACTTACGTCACAATCTCACTTCTACCTCAATTAATTATGGTTATGCTTTATGAATACACTTTATATCTTTGGTATAAACATGTCAAAACCTAGTTAGCTTAATGGTGCATTGATTACAGAGTGCTGTTTGTAACTAACATTGAACAGTCTTCAAGCTATAAATTCTTTGAGTATGTTGCTGTACTTGCTGAAATTATTCAGTAGACTATATTTTATCAACAACCGTAATAGATGTGAAACGGTTGGGACAGGATGATCCCAAAAAACCAGGCATTTATTAATTTATTGTGTTTTGAAGTAATTTATATGAAGCCATTCCACAGCTTCACCATTGATGCCTGGTTTAAACGAGGCATATATATTCCTGCAACGTAGACACCAAAATAAGAGTAGAATGAGACTACCGGAAATGAAAGTTGTTTAGGCTTATATGAACGCCGTTCACAGAATACAACATCTTTACCATATGAGATCTCTCCTCGGTAACTTGATACAGAGTGGCGTGTTACAACTGACAATCAATACGCGTTAAACTCCACGACTTTCTGTTGTCCGAAAGGACCACCAGTTTATCTTCATTAACTTGTTTTATAAACTGTTACTAATTATATTATTTTTATATAAGATTATGTTCAGAATACGTTCACGTCAATCGTTAATATCAATATATTGCTTTATATAATATGCGGGTGCATATAATGTTTGTTTTTATCATTAATATGATTATGTATATCATGGTAACCATTGTCCCTCCGTGTTTAACACAATTCATCCTTTTCACTTTTGTAATAATTGGTATCTATAGCGTTGTTTCTACGTCAGGCTATATCTATATAGCATTAGGTATATATACTAGTAAGTGTTTGATTTTGTTGTGTCCATATTTGTATAATAACATTAATTATCACAGACTTGCATTTAATTGGTGCTATGACATTCTGCAGTGTCATGATTCATAATAGTCATTTTGATAAGTTCTGTCATTTTGCATTATGTTTATCGATAATAAAGGAAGAAAATTACAAAGTTGTTAGGAATTATTTTATTATTGTACACTCACTGACCTGCTTCACTATAGATCTATGTAAAAGATTTTAATAGACTCTTCATTAAACCTAATCATTTTGCAGAGACGCCAGAATTTAAGTGTATATGTATCCCTAAAAACATTGTATAAAAATATATATGTACAAATATATTTCCTTAGGTTTTCATAAGTTTGATATTGTTATCTGATACCAACCTCTCTGCAAAGATAAGATCAACCACAAAAGACGGAAATAAGAATCGCTAAACCAAATAGAAAAATAATTAAAGCGATTTAGATGTTGCGAAGTTCACACACCAGAATTTTATTAATTCGCATGACGTATGTGACTTAATGAGGATATTCGGACAAACAATTAACGCCACCACAGTGACAGTACACTATACCACATGGTACTTGTGCCATTTTTGCCTCCGAGAACCCTCAGTACTTTGATAATGCATTCGTCTTTCGGGATCTTCGACACTGCAATACACAGTGAGTCTGATAAAGCAGAGAAAAGAACAACGACAAGCAAAATACATGCTTTCCGTTGAATATCAATATTTCTAAGTGCAAAGCATATTGGTTAAATAAATAATTCATAGACGCAAAATCCTGAATTCTTGTCTAAATAAAGAAACTCCAGTATATCAAGTTGATATACAGGGCCGAGTCCAGGCTTTTCGAAGGCGATATCAACATTTTTCGTCGCACTAAAGGCCCATGTACGAGCGCCGAAGGTGTGAAGCCTCTCTAACGGGTCTAGGGGCATCCCAAAATCCTAGGAAAAAATGAAATTTGGGAGCGCTCTGGTGCTACCTGAAGATATTTTAGAGTTCAGTATAACTTTAAACTTGAATAAAATTTGGGGTAATTTCAACTCTTTTGGTAATATCAAATTTTCCAAAAAGTTTGATAGAAACATATCGAAATCAAATCAAATTCCAGTATGATTGAAAAGGTAATCGGACAGGTAAAACAGAATTACGCATTTCATGTTGGCAAATGGCAAAACTCTATCATCAGATTCTAGATAAAAGCTCAGTACATAGATCCAATGCTCAATTTCCACTGATTAGTGCTTCTCGATAAATCCTGGAATTGCGCGTTAACGTTTATAGAATTAACCAAATCAACAAACAGTACATTCTCTTCCCCATTTGTATCGTTTCTGTGTCCACCTCGTAGTTTTTCTTTCTTTAAACTTTCTATTTACTATAACTTTCCAATACGGCTGTCATTGAACACATGAAGACGGCCCCATCGGGCCACGCTTAGAACATTAGCTCTGAAGAGCTGTTCTTGCTACAGAACATATGACAAATATCACAGCGGTCAGAGATGTAACAAAACCTGCAATAAGAAACAAAAGCACATCAAAATTGAAACTAACAGTTTTCATGTACATAGCTAGAAACATGCAGGAAAAATAACATGTTCATAAGTGTTCAAGTATATAAAGTTTACATCAAATAAAAACAAACTCTAAACCCACTTAACTATAATGAGATATCCATTAAAAATCATTTATACTATGAATATTGAATTGAGAAGATGGAATGTGAATAATTCGAAAGTTATGTTTAATTACAATTTTATATAAATAATAAAAAAAAACTCATATATGTATGATATTCATTTAAGTTAGTTAAGATCCCGATTTCTTATGTAAATACTGTAGATCGGAAAACCCCTACCTAAAGGGTCCTCTGGCCATACAAAGAGAGCATTATATAAATTACAAAACTTAACAAAAAAGCGAAATAGGCAGTGCACATCAGAACACCTCGGCTCATATACTCAGAGGACAGGTGATTGGGCAACCCCTACCTACAAAGTCCTCTGATAATGAGCAATATTAAAAGCACATATACAAACATAAAGCTGATAAAAAAAATATAACAACTTTAAACAAAAAAAACATTTAAAGCACATTTAAACATAGTTAAAACAGTGGACAGGACAAATCATTTAGCAGACAGTTTAATACAGAAAGCGCATGTACGAATTGGGCCATCCCAAGTGTGAATCTCTGTTCCACACCCGGGCTGTCCAAAAAGACAATGATGTTGTTCATACCTGGCAGAGTTTACTGCTGGGATATTTACACTCGTTCTTGAAAGTGTAAGAAGTCTCTTATTCAGGAGATATTTTATGTACAATCTTAAAGACCTCTCATCCCATACCTTCAAGTCTATTTACATGTAAAAGAGTGGTATTTGGGGACTTTGATAAAAGTTGATTAAAAGATGTAACATATGTAGCCGGACTCCACAAATCTCATCGCATCGATAATGCGACAGAAAAGGACGAAGTGATCCCATTGGCAGTCGACTGAGTTTAAGATGAAACGTTAATTAGTTTAAACAATATCTTAACACATGGAGTCGGTGAATAGGAATTTGACAGCAACATATAGCTTATGTACGTCATCTCCCTTTGCTTGGTCAAAGTTGAACAACCAAATGTTGCTCCTGGATACATTTCCATTAACCCGTTAGTGATATACTATACAAACAGTCATCTTTCAGTGATCTTGATATACGGTTTGGAAACTTGACATGATGTTTAAAAAAAACTAGAACTCACTCAAAAAAAAAAAAAATCAGTCTAATAAAACCATATTTGAACTGCAAAAATGTACAATTGAGCTAAAAACCACGTTTGAATAAAAATTATTCATTCTAATTCAGTAAAAACTTAAGTTTAAAAAAACCATTTGAATCCAAAAGCTGTAGCGATGTATTCAAAGATTAATAATTAATTTCAGTTCAAAAATTTAAATTATTTGGAATCAATATTCGAATTCAATTGTAAGGCATTTTTTCAGTTCTAATTTATAGGTTTTTAATTATTTTTTCAATTTCAAATTATGTTTATTTATGATTCAAATGAGACAATTTAGTGACGTAAGTTTTTTTGGAACCTTGTTACATGATTATATAATTTGGTACTGTCGAGAAATTGACAAGAGACAATGTTTAATCCGTAATGGATAAATCGTTACCTGTACAGCCGTACGTTTTAGCGGCAGTTGTCGGTGAATGCCAGCCGAGGAGAGAAGGTAACTTCTCGTTTTACTCACCTAGCCTCTCTGGAATACAAGTGCATACATTTATTCTGAATCAAAATCCTCTTCCAACATCATCTTAATCTCAAACATCGTTATAAATGATCGAGTGATCTATTGATATCGTACTTTCTGCGGTTTGTTATTCTCCCTGCGGCACCCTCTCAGTGCGTGCATGCTCTAATTGAACCTGTTAGTTCTTATTCAAATCTAATTGTGAACAGAAACATCTGATTAGAGGTATATATTATGATATTTATAATTCTTACTTGCGATTTATTGTGTAAATTCAAGAATGCGTTACGTTTACTTCTCACTGAAAGGCCCGGATATTGCGCTATTTCGGTGGTAGCTATTTTTATCACCGGCTTTCCCAAAAGATGAAACTGACAACACTGGACGTTGGCTTCAGGTCGGGTCATTATCAACTACGTTAACTTTGTTGGGAGATATATATTTTCAGTTTCGGCTTGATTTTCAGGTTATCAAAAAAACTTACTTCACTAAATTGTCCCTTTAAATATAAAGTTAGGAATATTGCAACGTTTGGCATACCATGCATGAGAGACGTAAACAATTTAATTTAAATGACATTTTTATTTAAACATGGAATTGTCGATATCAAGCCTCTGACTTTTTATGCATGATTCCAATACTATTAAATACCATAAACCATTTTGTACAACTAATATATAATTGTTGTAATATCTTTGCAACTTTCTGAAATGAGTAATGCAAACATTCCAGTCTCCATGCGAACTGACCTAATCCAGTGTGGTCTATTGTTCATTATGTGTGTTGCTCATGTATCGTTCTGACATAGCTTTGCAAGCAAACATCATAATGCGCGCTCACTGTTCAATATATGTATGTTTTATTATAATTGTCCGATCAACACCAGGTGAGGTAAGGATTCTATTTTTGTTTATTATGTGTTTGCTCCCGTAGGAGCTAACAAAAATTGCACTTGCGGCCATATTTCAGGCCACAGTGCGGGGTATTGGGTATAGTTTTCAACTAGCAATAACCACGTCTCGGAAAATCCTCATCGACTATGGTACCGCCACTGCGCAAAGCTAACGATCTACTAACACAATGACAAATATAACAATATGTGCACATATTATTATAGGTGAATAATAATATGGTGAACACAGTTTTAATTTTAATTCCCTCCTTCTTAATATTCTATCTACTGAAGACTTGTTTCTATTGATTTAATGGATAATTACGTTATATGAAATCGAGGTTTTGTTAAATGTACTTGCTTTCTAAATGAAATAGTATTTTGAAAAACGTTTTCGTTTCACAAACGCACATGATACGTATTCCTTGGTAAGGGTAGATAATTCCTTGACTTATTTCCCTTTATTCGTGGTTCTGTGAATACACCTGTAAAATGAGTCGATAGAATAATCTGTGGACGGAATCCTGTGTACTCGAGTTCCTCGAATGCTGAGTTTGACAATTATAATGAACAGAAATACAATATAAATTGAATGAAACGAGGACATTTTACGAATTTAAACTCTATGTTCGGTAATAATTGGTTCTCTTAATTATTAAAATCTTCGTAACATGCTGATAAATAAAACCAAGTTCTTATTGTAATGGGAATTTTTACAGAAGTCCTAAAAAATGCCCCATAGTCATAATTATTTATAAAAATGGCAACGTAATGTATACACCTCTATACCTAATTTTGGTACCAAATCGGACAATGTCTTTTTAAAATTTGATCAGTCAGAACAGAGACATAAAAAGCAAGTACATACGTATCTGGTCAGAAGCAATTAAAAGACAGATTTATTGAGGCGGCTATTTTGTTTAATAAGAAAAAGAAAAACGAATGTCGATCATCGTCGCAGTAGTCTAGAGCTCGTATAGTAGCAGATATATACGAAATTTCAACAAAATCGGACATTATCTAAATTTCGCCCAATCAGAAGCCGGTCGACCGTAGGCGGTTATTTTGTCCAATCATGAAATGCATACTTCAGTGTTTTTTGGTAGTGACATTACATATTTCCCTTCACCAATTAATATCACCTGATCACACTGCACAAAATAAAACAAGAATAAAGATTATATTTAGTTCCTTTTCCCTAATAGTAACTTTTACATCAAATAAAAAATAAAAAATGGCGAAAAAAAAAATCATAATTAGTTTCTGATAAAACGTGTAGATTTTTTTTGGCGGAACATAAAATAAAATAATAATAATAAAGTTTAACTTAATTAATTTATTCTGAACGGAGGCATATCTGCCTCTATAGTCAGATCCTAGTCAATATTAAATAATACAGTAATTTTAAGTCTATCGACCCGTCAAGGATATCAGTTTATTTATTCGATGAATTTATGAGAAACAGGATACGCATAATTTACATAAGGTACATATGCCACAAATTCAAGAGAAATATATATATGATATGGAAGGATCGATAAAACAGTCCATCTGTAAGGGAATCTGGATGAACCAGATCTTGGTACGTGTACAGTTACGGAACGACTGACTCTGTTGGCTGTTCAGCCACTGTGTAATACTATTAAAAGTAAAAGAAAGATTAGCTAGATGAGATGACCACAATCAAAATATCGGTAGAAACTTAATTATGATATATTTGGTTTAACATTAAATCACTTAATTGGCCGGTGTTATATATATACGTCTGTTACCTATTTCATTATCATTACGATGAAAATTTACATATATATTATTTATAGTTATATCACAAGTACCATTATGATTCTGAAAAAGTAAAAAATATGAAGGCAGATATAAAATGCCACGCCCACTTTTCGTATGCTTTAATGATTTGTAACTGACAGATATAACCCCTATGGACATGATTGAGACATCAAATTATCCATCAACATCTCTCGTAACCCTATCGATAATGTCACACAGTCTTGTGCCGGTATGCTCTTTCATACAAATGATACCCGAAGGGCTGTTGGAGTCTACCATCACAATATTGTGGTGATGTCATTTTATCAGTACGATTTGCCTCCCTTCCTCGATTTTTAATCTACCTTATTCCCAATTGACCGTGCGTTGAAGGCCAAAAACAGAAACTTTATTTCTCTATTTGAATCGAGTTATTAATTCCTTTCAACTAGCCCATATGATTAGAATTTATGTTGATGAATAGGGAATAACCTGAAGTTGGCCATTGGTGGAAATAGCATATACATCGAACTTTGATTCTTGCTCGATGTGTATTGGAAGGTCAGTTACGATTGTGGTAAACCAGTTTGGAAGCCATATTGGCCCGGACACTAATGGCGGTTGAAATTGCAGGACAGGTGCTTCATTCTTTCCAGGTTATATTTTCGCCGGGTAGGGTGCTTCTATGTAAAGCACAGGTCACGCGTAACTTTGTACCAAATTGTGTTTTCAAAGAGGGATACTGTTGAGTTTGCAGTGTGCATGCATATATACGGAAGTGAAAATTCATGTTGGATGTTGACAGTTGAAGTTGAAACCCCGATGTCAGAAAGATATTGGACTGTTAAAGTTTATAAATCCGTTATTAGTTGTGACAACTGATAATATCATTCGAGTTCGATCGTTTGGGAAAGTAAATGTTGATATTTATTTAATATGCATCAGTTGAACATTGGATAATGTCGCGATGCGAATAGGACAAAATGACAACTTGGACTTTCAAAGGAGCGGGGATAAGTTGATTGAATCCTGAATACACAACCAGGACATCCGGTCAACATCTCTCGTGCACTGATAGGTCAGAGAGATGGCATCGTTTGACCCAGAGTACAGAATTCGGCTCCAGAAGGTGGAGGAAAAGCTGGTTGACGCAAGTTCTGAATTAAATGTGAACGGGCTATTGGTAAGTTTCGTTGTGTCTGTGGTCACGGTTGGCTGGACGTCAAACCAGCATTTTTGTCAAGTTTGTCATCACCCTAGGCTAATCTGTTGATGCTGTCTGGAATTACTGTGACAACTACATATAGTTAGTAATACCTAAAATTGTTACACTATACACATAGCTGTATATCAATCTGGTAAATAAATGATGCATGTAGACATTTATTTACATTTTTTGTATGTTGCTATCTTTAAACATTACAAATACAGCTCATGTGTTAACTGTTATAGACAAGTTACATCACACTTTGTTTGAACCAATGCTTTGTTTAATAATATAATTTTCATTCATTGAAAAGTTCCACATAAAACATCTCTCCCTACAATAATCATACATGGTCTGCCATTAATACTTGTAGTAAGTCAGCAACTGGAGTTATTATACTGACGAATGCTTCTGGAGAGACCCCTACAATACAAACAACACATGCTTACAGCCTGTAACTAATCTACTACATCCCTAACCCCTAATTCCCTACCAGAGATAGCTTCCATATCCAATAAGTGTAACCCCAGGTAGGACAGCCATACCTGGATATTGTTGTCCATAACTAAGAGACACCCCCTGCCTCAGGTAGCTTAAAAATAACAGCATCTGACCCCAGATATCGCAGCACTACCTGTGGTATTCAAATAGGCACATCTTTGGTCACCCAAGGTAGCCTCAAATAACAACCTGTGAACCAGCCTAACACTGTCTAACAATACCCCTACTTCTAAGCCATGATATCAGCATCTGACCTCAGGTAAAGTAGTTTTACCTGTGAAATACAGAGCGGAGCCTGTAACTAACAGATGGTTTTGCTGGACTGCATAATCAGACAATTCTAGCTCTCTTTAGGATTTTGATAATGCTCAAGTGATTTTTGCTGAAACTTACTAGGACAATTTAGTCAATAATAATAGGCAAGCAAATAAATGGCTTATAGCTATTGCTGATCAGAACCACTGCACTACCTGGTACTGTACATGTGTTCATCATGCATCCAGCAGCTGACCCCAGGTAAGACAGCCCATCTTGTGATATATTTAGATATATATGTTGGTGATAGGCTGCCCATAACGAACTGTTTGGGTTTGGTATCCAGATATTTAAATTGGTCAAAATAAGCAAGCTTTTCACTTGCAGCATACTATGTTTCTAGGTGATTGGAGATAAAATGTTTCAGTTGTCCAAGCCATGTGTTTCATGCATATGTACTCAAACAGTGTTTTTATTGACATTGGACAAGTCAGTTTGTATGAAAATTTATTTTCTTTTACCCTGAATTGTTATTGACCACATTCCATTTCAAGTTGCAAACATGGATAATATGCTTGAGGTAGTGTGTAAAAGTATCACCTACAAAACAAAACAAAAATGATTTTGGGATATTAAGTGATTTTTGCATTGATTTTTGGAAAAAATAGCAAAAATTATCTGGGCAAGGGGCGTTTATAAGGCCCCAAATTAACACTAAAAAATCACTGAATCATTAGTCACTACATACAAACTTTATCCTTTTCCAAAATGGTGCAGCAGCATATTTCTACATAGAGTTGAAGGTAACAGTTAATGCAATATCTAGGCATACTCTTTTAATTTTCCATAGGAGTTCTTCGTTGACTTTATTGAGGATATTATTCAATAGATATATATGTTACCTTGACGATGCTCCTGTATCCATGCAATACATCACCTGCCTGTCAGATTACTGGAAAAATGAATTTAATAAGAGTTTTTTTTTAAAATAACACCATTTAATATGTTACGAGTAAATGTATCAGTATCAACAAAAGATAAAGTAACAATAAAACAAAATACATCTTTCGGCACTGTAGTTTTTGCGCAAGTAACATTAATATTCTCATCAAATTGAAGCTATTTTATATAGTGGTCACTGAAACTACAGGGGATCTCAAATATGAGAGATATTGCTATCTGATATGCATTGATATTATTGCATTCTTGCATTGATTTTACTTGTTCTGGCAGAGACCTGTATAAATATCAAGGGAAAATACAGACACATTTAAAAAACGATAAAAAAGTGTATGTTTAAACATTTTCATACTAAGAACATAAAAATTATTTTGAAAACTAGTAAAAAAGGTTTGTTGAAGATAGTGGTGATTGCATGTAAATTTACAATTGATAACGACGAAAATTTCAATGAGCCCAGCCTTGCATTGATAAATGTCTCGAAAATGTGACAGTTTTATCAATGCACTATCTTCAACAAACCTTTTTTACTAGTTTTCAAAATATTTTTTATCAGAGAACATAATAAAGTAGAAATTATTGAATAAAGAATTTTAAAGATAGCTGTGTAATGTTACAAGTATAAATAATGAATCTTTTTAAGTAGATATGTCTATAATTATTTTTTACACTCCCTGAACAAAAAGTGTGAAAGATTTTACTTTGAACTTTTGATCCAAGTTCATAAGAGTGCAGATAGTATGGAAGCAGATGGTTCAAATTTATTTCAAATATTTAATGGAAAAACATTTGTATTTTTAATATGAGAACATATAAATAAACTACTTTAGGAATGAATGATCCTGTATGTTTGAAGAAGGAAGTATGCCATACGATATAGTATAAATAGATATGAATTATCTGTATATATCCACTTAAAATGTCAGATGAATATAAGCATTGATGTCATTTGGCTGGTGAAATACGACCCTGATCTTCTGATTGCATGTGTGTGTAGGCCTTTAAACAGAATTACTAAATATAAATATCTCCTGGTCCAGATAAGTTATTTATACCTCTTGCTACACTCAGATGCTCCCATGCTGTAGCATTTAGAGGCCTCCCTCCTACCTCCTTCTTTACAAGAGGCCTGCAAACATATTCTTAAAAGATTAAGTAGCTTTAATGGCAGCTTAAAGGAAATTTTCAAATCTAATTTTATTGAAGCTTTCTTTAAATTGCATAAAATTCATTTTCTGCAAGTGATCTTTTTCAATCCCAGATCATGCATCTTTTCAGTTAGAAAAATTATAAGCTATAACAGATTCAAATTACTTAAACTAGTATATGAATATGTCAAAAAGCTTACAAGACTTTTTACAAAGAGATGCCTTGCTGTAGAATCAGATTTGTCTGACCTCCTCTTCATTATTGCATTCTAGAAGTGGATATAATGGCCACAGGGAAAAGTTATAAATTTATTTACAAAAACAATACCTACCAGATGTGGCTTAGCCAGGAGGATTGTAGGATCTTCGGTCTATAGTCATGTGATGAGCTGGTAAACAATTACGGTACTAAACCAATCATATGTTCTATGTGTGCTGTGGTCTGGCCAGAGATTCATTGATCATTGTCTTACTACTAAAAGTTTATGGCACCTAGCCTGAATTAACAAGGCTTTGTAATGTTAGGGTGAAGGTGATATTAACATGTGTACAATCTTACAGGTATTTATTTAAAGTCTGCTGTAATGTTTATTGTATAGTTGACAGGCTCAGGTTATGGTAGGTCAGGCTGTCTACTTAAAATGTCATAGTATCATCTGGTCCTACCAAGAAGTAGGACTGCTCACTTTAAAACAGTACAATTGATGGATCAAGTTCACATGGCCTCAGATAGAGGCTGGATCATCCTGTGTGTAGGTGAAGGTCAAGATCAAAGATCTTGGACACGGCTGGGGCATCCTGTGTGTGGGTTAAGGTCAAGATAACATGACCTCAGATAGAGGCTGGAGCATCCTGTGTGTATAGGTGAAGGTCAAGATCAAAAGTCTTTGACAGTGGCTGGGACATAATGTGTGTGGGTGAAGATCACAGATCTTCTGCAGAGTCTGAAGCATCTTATGTGTGGGTGAAGGTTAAGATCACATACCTTAGACAGAGGCTGGAGCATTCTTTGTGTGAGTAAAGGTCAAGATCACATGAGGCTGGAGCATCATGTGTGTCGGGGGTGAAGGTTAAGATCACAGAACTTTAATAGACAATGGCTGAAGCTTCCTGTGTTTGGGTGTACATGAAGGTCAAGAAAACATGACCTCAGACTGAGTCTGGAGCATGCTGTGTATAGGTGAAGGTCAAGATCAAAGATCTTAGACAGTGGCTGGGGCATAATGTGTATAGGTGAAGGTTAAGATCAAAGATCTTAGACAGAGTCTGGAGCATTCTGTATGTGGGTGAACGTCAAAATCACAGACCTTAGACAGAGTCTGGAGCATTCTGTGTGTGGATGAAAGTCAAGATTACAGACCTTAGACAGAGTCTGGAGCATTCTGTGTGTGGATGAAAGTCAAGATTACCGACCTTAGACAGAGTCTGAAGCATTCTGTGTGTGGATGCAAGTCAAGATCACAGACCTTAGACAGAGTCTGGAGCATTGAATCTGTGTGGGTGAAAGACAAGATCACAGACTTTAGACAGAGTCTGGAGCATTGAATCTGTGTGTGGGTGAAAGTCAAGATTACAGTTCTTAGACAGAGTCGGAGCATTCTGTGTGTGGGTGAAGGTCAAGATTACAGACCTTAGACAGAGTCGGAGCATTCTGTGTGTGGTTGAAGGTCAAGATTACAGACCTTAGACAGAGTCTGGAGCATTCTGTGTGTGGGTGAAGGTCAAGATCAAAGATATTAGACAGAGTCTGGAGCATTCTGTGTGTGGGCGAAGGTCAAGATCAAAGATCTTAGACAGAGTCTGGAGCATTCTGTGTGTGGGTGAAAGTCAAGATCAAAGATCTTAGACAGAGTCTGGAGCATTCTGTATGTGGGTGAAGGTCAAGATCAATGATCTTAGACAGAGTCTGGAGCATTCTGTGTGTGGGTAAAAGTCAAGATTACAGACCTTAGACAGAGTCAGAGCATTCTGTGTGTGGGTGAAAGTCAAGATCACAGACCTTGGACATAGTCTGGAGCATTGAATCTGTGTGGGTGAAAGTCAAGATTACAGACCTTGGACATAGTATGGAGCATTGAATCTGTGTGGGTGAAAGTCAAGATCACAGACCTT